AGAATAGAATAGAATAGAATAGAATAGAATGTAGAGTAGAGTAGAATATAGAATAGAGTAGAGTAGGGTAGGGTAGGGTAGGGTAGGGTAAAATAGAATAGAATAGAATAGAATAGAATAGAATAGAATAGAATAGAATAGAATAGAATAGAATAGAATAGGATGTAGAGTAGAGTAGAGTAGAATATAGAGTAGGGTAGAGTAAGGTAGGGTAGGGTATGGTAGAATACACTAGAACAGAACAGAATAGAATATAGAGTAGAATAGAATAGAATAGAATAGAATAGAATAGAATGTAGAGTAGAGTAGAGTAGAATAGAATATAATGTAGAGTAGAATATAGAATAGAACAGGGTAGAATAGAATAGAATAGAATAGAATAGAATAGGAATATAGAGTAGAGTAGAATAGAACAGAATGTAGAGTAGAGTAGAATATAGAGTAGAGTTGGGTAGGGTAGGATAGGGTAAGGTAGGGTAGGGTAGGGTAGGGTAGGGTAGGATAGCATAGCATAGCATAGACTAGAGTAGACTAGACTAGACTAGACTAGAATAGAATAGAATAGAATAGAATAGAATAGAATAGAATAGGGAATGAAGAATAGAATAGAACAGAATAGAACAGAATAGAACGGAACGGAACAGAACAGAACAGAACAGAACAGAACAGAACAGAATAGAATAGAATAGAATAGAATAGAATATGGAATAAAGAATAGAATAGAGAATAGAATAGAATAGAATTCTTGGCCAAATGTGATTGGACACACAAGGAATTTGTCCTTGGTGCACATGCTCCACAAAGGAAAAAATAAAATACATTCATCAAGAATCATAAGGTACAACACTTAGTGATAGTCCTCAGTTACTATAAGCAATTAAATCACGCATAGGTTACTAATACACAATCAAAACATACTACGAAAACAAATAAAACAATATAAATTGTAAAGATACAAGCAACACAGTTATAGTCATAAGTGGGAAGAGATAGGTACTAGGAAGTGTTATTATAATCTAGCAGTAGAGGAATAATAGTAATAAAGTCCTAGTAAATAAGTTGACAGGGTTGTGAGAATTAGTTGTTTAGCAGAGTGATGGCATTTGGGAAAAAAACTATCGTTGTGTCTAGTTGTTCTAGTGTGCAGTGCTCTATAGCATTCCAACAGGGGCATGACAGAGTCCTTCTCAAGGATTTTGGAAAGGCAGATGTTGTTCTACAATGGTGTTACAATTCCCACGCAGGATTTACCCTGATCCAAGAAAAGCTGCCTTTTAGCAATTGACTGATGGTGAATTTGGGAATTGCCCTCTTTAACAGCCCTACTCCAGAGCATCCCCTGCACTAAAACTACCTTTGGTATTAGGGCAATGAATATCAATATGGCCCCTCCTCAGTGGTGGGATTCAAATAATTTAACAACAGGTTCAACCAGGGTCAGGTTGGCTGTCGTGGGAGGCGTGACCCTCCCCTACCCTCTAGCTCCATCGCTCCATCTGACTTCGCCAATTAACAGAGCTGGAAGAGACCTTGGAGGTCATCTACTCTGACCCCCCCCACCCAAGCAGGAGACACTACACCATTTCTGACAAATGGCAGTCCAATCTCTTCTTGAAGGTCTCCAGTGATGAAGCTCGCACAACTTCCGAAGGCAACTTCTGTTCCATGGGTTGATTGTCCTCACTGTCATAAAATTTAGGAACTGCCCCTAAATTATAAAGTTCTGGCTTGAAAGTCTATATGAAATTTAGCAGGGACCTCCATGAAGCGAGCAACCAAATGTCAAATCTTGGCCATAAATGTTCCTTCTGATATCTGGACCAGCAATGGGGATAGGAACCATGACTAGAAATCTCCCAGATACTTCTTCCTGGTCTAACTGTGCTCATTCAACCACCCTCAGCTTCAGATTCAGATTAACGGAGTTGGAAGGGACCTTGTAGGTCATCTAATCCAACACCCCCGCCACCCAAGCAGGAGACTCTACATCATTTCTGACAGATGGCAGTCCAGTCCCTTCTTGGAAGCCTCCAGTGATGAAGCTTCCACAACCTCTGAAGGCAACTTCTGTTTCATCAGTTGACTGTTCTCACTCTCAGAAAATCCCTCCTTATTTCCAGGTTGAATCTCTCCTTGTTCACTTTCCATCCATTGTTCCTTGTCTGGCCTTTGGGTGCTTTGGAAAATAGATTGTCCCCTTTCTCTCTGTGGCAGCACCTCAAATATCGGAAGACTGCTATCATGTCTCCCCAGGTCTTTCTCCTCCCTAGACTATCCAGGCCCAGTTCCTGCAACTGTTCATCATATGTTTGAGCCTCCAGCCCCCAAATCCTCCCGGTTGCTCTTCTCTGCACTTTTTCTAGAGTCTTAACATCTTCTTTTATAGTGTGGTGACCAAAACTGGATGCAGTTACTCTAGGTGTGGCCTTACTCAGGCTTACTAAAGCTTAACCCATTTGTAAAATTGGATTGCTGTGTGCCACACAGCCCATGGGGGAAAGGGGGGAGACAGGCAGCCGCTCGACATAAACTCGATTAGTAAATATGATCACGGGCTTATGCTAACATGTGGCAGACAAAGGAATCCCAAAACTCGCAGCGAGGCAAAACCGCCTTCCCTTGCAGAGACACTCTTGCCTTTGTTCAGAAGGGAAGGCATGACAGTCTCCCTGTTTTGCTTTCTCCCTGCTTTGAGAACTTGCAGTTCCTGGCACGGTCTCTTCCACACCCTCACGTGGGAACTGTGACACCCAAAGCTCTTTGGAAGGTCATGCCGAGCTGAAGCTATTTTAGATGATGGGCTCTTTTCCAAGCCGGGCTCAGCTGCCTCTCGCCCTGAAAATATTTGGAAGTCCGCTATTGGGGTGGGGTGTGGGGACACACACTCACACACACACGCATCATGTTTATAATTAACGCCATTAAAAATAGCCATTGACTCAACCGCATGCAGCTAACCGGGCAAAGAAGCTGTTGTGTAACCGGCAACCCAGAAGGAAAACGCCAGAAGAATGTCATGAACTAAAACGGTCCCTAAGCAGGCAGAGAGGAGCTGGGCTCCCTGAAAAGGCAAGTACTTTTGAGCATGCTAAACTGCTAAATAAACTGTTATTTGCCTAAGGTGGGTGCTCGCCTGGGGTAGAGCCGTGTCTTTCCCCCGAGAGCTGAATGACAACTGCAACTGCATGCTGCGTTTTTCTGCTTACGAGGGGCACGCCGAAAGAGCTGGCTCGGTTCCTTGCCAGTTCCTGCTCACCAAGCGGTCCTCGGTCGTTAGGGCTGATTGAGGTCCCTCTGAGTAGGTGGGGGGGTGGGGGAAGGGCCCAGGCAGAATGTCTGAAAAGTGCCACCTAAGTATGGAGTAAGATCAAGAGGAGTGTAATGATCGGTATTTAAGGAGGGATCTCAGTTCCAGGAGTGGAGTGACAATTTTGCATCTCCAGGTCCATCTAGGGAAAAAGTTGAATGCCTTTCCTGCTCTAAGCTGGTTTTGATACCTCTGGCTGTCCAGGCAGAAGCCTTCTCATCAGTAATGCTGCAGGATTGCAACCTTTTCGGGAACAGGAGGGGGAGTATCATGTGAGGTCCATCCACAGGAGGTCTTCGCACCTTGCCAGAATCAGTTCTCCGACCTCTCTTAGGACATGGTCTGCATTTGACAGCTGGGTCGATTTATTACAGATACAGCAGTGATTTATTTGAGATTAAGCAGGACATGAGTGTTTTCTCTGAAAAGCAGCAGAGCATGTTGACCATGGGCTGGCTAGCTGGAAACAGCCTGGGGACAGAGGCTACCTAGGCAGGTCTTGGAGCTGCTGATCCAGTTCTACAGAGGAATGATTGAGTCTGTCATCTGCATCTCTATAACTGTCTGGTTTGGCTCCGCAACCCAACAGAACAGACACAGAATTCAACGGAGTTAGAACTGCAGAAAAAAACAATGGCTACCAACCTGCCTTCCACAGAGGACCTGCATCCTGCATGAGTCAAAAAGAGGGCTGTGAAAATATTTACAGACCCCTCACATCCCGCACATGAACTGTTTCAACTCCTACCCTCAAAACGACGCTATAGAGCACTGCACACCAGAACAACTAGACACAAGGACAGTTTTTCCCTAAATGCCATCACTCTGCTAAACAGCTAATTCCCACAACACCGTCCAACTATTTACAATGTCTGCACTACTGTTACTATTACCATTAACCCTCACATCTTTCCTTTCACCCATCTCCTCCCACTCATGACTGTATGACTGTAACCTTGTTGCTTGTATCCTAATGATTTTTACTGATTGTTTCCTAGTATGGTTTGATTGCTTATTGTACCCTATGACTATCATTAAGTGTTGTACCTGATGAGTAGGCCTCCCCAGACTCCAGAGGCTTTCCTCGAGCCTCTGGGAAGGTGAAAATGGCCTCCCCCAAGCTCCGGAGGCCCTCTGGAGGCTGGAAATGGGCCCGTTTCCAGCCTTCTGGAGCCTCCAGGAGGCCCGAGACTGAACCTCCAGGCAGGCCCTGTGAAACAGGCCTGGGAGGGGAAGGGCGGGCGGGGCCATCCAGGGGTGGGATTTGCCAGTTCACCCAACTGCACAGAATCTTAGCTAGAAGGATCCCCCAAACCCGTAGCAGCCCACCCCTGCATGTTACCCGTAGATTTTCTCTGCATTAACTAGACATTCCCAGTTCCTGCAACCATTCTTCATATAGGACTAGAACTCCCAGTCTCCCAATTTCTAGTCTGCTGCCTTCAAACCAGAGATGGGTATTCAGCAGGTTCTGACCAGTTCTGGAGACCCGGTAGCGGAAATTTTGAGTAGTTCAGAGAACCAGCAAATACCACTTCTGACTAGAGATTTTACAGTATCCTTCCCCTGCCACACCCACCAAGCCGCGCCCACAGAACCAGTAGTAAAAAAAAAAAATTGAATCCCACCACTGCTTCAAACCATTACACCAAACTGGCCCTCAATTTATAAGCCACATATTAATTAATCATCAGGATAGCTCAGTTCAAGAGCCATCCGTAGATATATTCTGGACGTTAGAGAAGTCTATGAATATATGCCAGAAATGAAAGATAAGGTCTATAATAAAAATGGATGGTTTGGACCTTTTTCCCCTCTTTTTAAAAGCCACTTTGGCCATAGTTGCTAATAACTGGGACATATATTTTTCTTTTTCATGGATAAATAAATGATGGAACAGGCTTAATGTATTTTTTAAGGATCAAAAGCTATCCCAGAATCTTAGTCACTTCAGCTAACCAGCTCTCTCTGTCAATGTTATATGTAGCCCCCAGCCATAAAAAGATAAGTGAAACTACTTCAGAGACTTGTAACAAAAATCAATCTGGATGACCTATTTGACAAACATATTCAACATTTCTACAGGAAACACGATTGCTATCAAACCTCTCTGGATATTTGATAGGACGGGTTATGGCAGGATTGGAAAAAAAAAAATTCTCTTTCAGAAATAAGAGGTTTTTTTTTCCCCCCAAGCTAATAATTCAGTTTATAATTTCTCCAACATTTGTGTTACGATTGGCCCCAGCCCGACTTTATAAGCGTTGCATAAAAATGATTTAAAAAGCAGACTGCCCTTCAAATCACCCCAACATTTCTTTCTTCACTAAAAAAAAGAAAAAGAAAAAGGCAGGAATATGTTAATGGAGTTGATCAAAGCTAGTTGAAATACCTTTCTAAAACATCTGTTCCAATTTCCCAGGGCTCTCCTTGATCCCATTTTCAGCCGAGTGCGGCTTCCGTAGAATTTTAAACTGGAATTATTTAGTACGTGTTTAGATTATCCATAGCCTACTTCATTTTATATAAGTAATGAGTAACAACAACAACAATTATAATCTGATCAGAAGGAAAGCTGGCCCATTCTTAATTTAACATTTTTACTGAGTTATAAGATCAAATAAGATACAAAACACAAAAATAAATAGAAAAGCAGTGAGGGGAAAAAGAAATGAGGAAGGATTAGGAAAAAGAAAAAGTAGTATTAACTTCCAACTCTCTCTGTTGCGGTAAAATAAGGCATAAACAACATCAAAACACAGCTTTTGCTTTTTCATACTGATATAAACTAGCTATGTCTATAAGGATCTGTCAGTCTAATTGGTAAAACCCAAAATCAAAGTTTCATTCTTTACCACTTCAGGCACAAAGTTCAGAAGCGAGCTCCATGTGGAAACAAAAGTACTTATATTATTTTCTTGAATCAAAATAGTCAATTTTGCCATTTCAGCCAACTCCATCGACTTCTGCAACCATTTGTCCATGGTGGGAATCCAAATGGCCTTCTATTTTTGTGTGTACCATAGACTATTGTATGCTCGTTCTTAACCTACATGCCCAAATAAGGTTTTAGAGAATTTCCAAGGAGTGATCAGAGTTAAGAATTTTGAGAGTTTTTAACTGAAATTTAGTTTCACAGCAGATGAATCAAACAGCAATGAAAAACAGCCCATTAAAAAGGCTGTAATTTATTATTATTTGTAATGTTGGTTTAACATAGTGCATCAACAAAACATTGACAATAAAACAATACACAGGGAGGAGGCATTAAAAATGCAGTTTGGAAATATATTTAATTTCATCCATTTCAAAGGATTACTCAAGATTATTTGTTAATTAATTAGTTAATTAATTAACCTAAAGAAATGTATTTTCAGCATTTTGCTATAATAACTCTAACACTAACAACATAAAAAAGTGGAATTAATTTTTGATGCTGCATCATTTTTATCAATTGCCCAGAGATAATTATGCAATTTTTCCAATTTCCTGAAGAAATTTCAACTGAGGTTTGTAACATGTACTAATTTAATTACATCTCTTCAACGCATTATAGAAAAGCTTTGATTAAATATCAAAGCTTTAATAAATAATGGTCCTTTGAAAGGTCATACTATCATTTAGTATGCAGAAGGTCAGAAAAATAAGTTTTATTACACTGACTGATTTTCCTCCAAAGAAGATTTATGTAAGTTTAGAACTTTAAGAAAAACTTCTTTTTTATTTGCAATTATGTAGGAAAAAGGTGATTAGAATGTTGATTTTGGAAAGTTTTTAAATAGTCTAAGAAGCCAGATTGATTGGAAACAAAAATTTGGCAAGTTATAAGAATATTCCCTGTGGTTTCTTGAAAATCTTACTGACATCTATAAAGATTTGAGTTTAAATGTAAAAAAACAATATCTTCTTGGAAAAATGTTCTGAATGACAGAAAAACACGATAAGGGGAAATCTTGAAGGCTGGTTACTAGAGGCAGCCAAATAGAATTAAAGATTATAACTAAAAGAGAATTCCTAGTAATACACAATGCAGTAAAATATTTTAACTGGGGAAGCATTTAAGGATCTTTGGAAACAATGTACCTAGAATTTAGAAAAGTTTAGACTACCTGATAAGAGCTTAAAAGAAGAGAAAAAAATATAGCTGAAAATCAGTTTGTTTTAGATATGGATTTAATATCGACAGGATACAAGAATCATATTGACAAAGATGTTATTATATAGGACCTAAAAATGAAACTGGCTGAGGTTTTAATAACTGAAAGGAACACACAACTAATAAATCAGAAGGGTGACTTGAATATGTGAAGTTTAACTCACAAAAGTGGCGGATAATTTCCTTACTTTGGATTGACAAAACAGATGTGTTATAAAGACAAAAAAAAACCCAGCTTTTGGGACATTACACGAAAGGAATAATCAAGGCCTTTAAAATTAAAAATGAAAATGTGTGAAGTTGGCTTATTTGATCAAAATTAAACTCCTTTTCTCCTCTTTTTTCCCCCCACAGCTTTTAATGGCTCTCTCTTGGCTAGGATGGAATGATGAGGCTTTATTATCGCATGTATTATACATCTGTATTATGCAAAGTAATAATGTACTATAATGCTATAATATAAACCATTCTTTGGATGCCGCCTACTGAAGCAAGTGTAGAGAGAGCGTGCTTCAAAAGAGTGCATAATTATAATGCAATTTATAATTACTTGTGTTCCACCTACTCAAGGGATACTATGCTGATATAAATTTGGGGTTTAATCCAGGAATGGGATTCAAGAATACCAACAACCGGTTCTCTGCCCGGTTGCTGAGTGGGTGTGGCCATGGTGGGCATGGCCTACTGGAAGTTCCGGAAGGGCCCTTTTTTAGCCTTTCCCAGAGTCCGGAGGCTTTCCTCGGGCCTCTGGGAGGGAGAAAACAGCCTTCCCCAGACTCTGGAGGCCCTTTAGAAGCTGGAAACAGGCCCGTTTCCAGACTTCTGGAACTTCCGGGAGGGCCATTTTTCAACCTCCCAGAGCCTCCGCACTTGCCTGCACTTGCCTGCATCTAAAACGGGCCGTGTGGAGACTCCTGGGAGGGAAGGGGCCAGCCGGTTGGTTCAACTACTGGTTCGGTGAACCAGATATAAATTTAACATCTGGTTCACCCAAACTGGCTGAATCCCACCCCTGGTTTAATCCAAATCAACCCATCACAGAAAGCTCTGCTTAGAAACCCACGACAGCTTTCTCAATCTCTTTCCAGTGAACACAATCACCCTTGCGACTAAGGCAGATGAAGTTTCCCCCCGGTGTAAATATTTCTAGGACTAAACAGGTCTTGGGAACATAGAACTGGAAAGGATTCTTCAGGTCTATGGCGTCCCATCTCCTGTAGGAATCTATTTAAAGCCTGATAGTTTCCTCCTGAATCCATGACATCTCCTGTCTCTCTGCATCACTAATTCCACACTGAAACTGCTTTTCCTGTAAGGACGTTTTGTCTAACATTCAATCAAAATCTGCCTTCCTGTTACTAAAGTTAAATCCATTATTTCCTGTCCTATCTTCTGAAATAAGAAAAGACAGGTCTGGAGTTTCTTTTGTGAAAATTTCTTCTAGCACTTTGAAGAGCGTTAGCATAACCCGCCTCAGTCTTCTCAAAGCTGAATGTTTCCAGCTCCACAGAAATCAATATCTAGTCCCTGGTGGTTGCCATCTTCTGAAGCTTTTGCAGCTTTTATGAAAAGTTTTTTTTGTTTTTTTTTTGGTGGAAAGGCTTTTTGTCAGCTGTTTGAGGGTGAGACAAGGAGTAACAGGTGGAGGATTAGAACTAAGCAGAAATTTCCTGATGTTTGAAATTCTGTTTTATATAAAGCACCACAGAGCAAACAAGGAGTACAGTCACCATGTGCTTTACCTCTCAACTATATAACTGTAACAGGAAACAGGAACCTCTACTGAGAACAAAAGAGCATAGAGTATATACCATAGATCCAAATTTGTAAACACTGCCATCTACTGGCTAAATACTAGAGTTGTTGCATAAAAATACCTTCCAACAATGAATTCCAACCCCTGTCAGTGAGAACAATTAATTAGCAGAAGGACTTAACCCCAGAAGTTGTGGGTGCTCCATCAGGCAGGTTTTCAAGAGGAGACAGGAATGGTACATGCTTGATCAGGGGGTTGGACAAGAAGATCTCCAAGGTTTCTTCCAACCCTGTTATTTTATGTTCTATGTTTTGAATTCTTAGAAAGGATGACCCAGAACATGACTTGAACAGAATGTAGTGTAATTTTTAGGTATGTCCAGATTCCAGAATAATGAGAAAGACTACAAAGAAACGAAGCTCTTCCCTTCATTTATTTTTTTAAATTATGTTGATTTTTCACTTTTCATAGCCTGTCCAACACATGATACCCTTGATGGGTTACAAGAAGCTAACATAAATGAAGCAGTAATAAATACCCAAATAGTAAAATTACTATTAATAAATCAGCAACCATAATCTGCCCAAGATGGAGGCCAATGAAACATAACACAGAAGGCCAACTTGGTTTAGTGGTGAAGGAGATCATGAGTTCTAGTCCTGTGTTAGGCACAAAAACCAGCTGGGTAACTTCGGGCCAATCACCTTGAGACAGTAAGTTCTAGTCCCGCCTTAGGCATGAAAACCGGTTGGGTAATATTGGACCAATCACTAGGAGACAGTGAGTTCTAGTCCCGCCTTAGACATGAAGACTGGCTTAGTGACTTTAGATGAATTGCTCTCTCTTAGCCCAACTGACCTCACATGGTTGTTGCTGTGGAGAGAATAGGAGGAGAAAGGAGTATTAGGTATGTGTACCACTCTGAGTTATTTAAAAATAATAATAAAGGTGAGCTAGAAATAAATAACAATCATAAAAGCTATGACTGAAAGTCTGGTGACATAAAATGTTAAAGACCCCCTAACAACCATGAGAGAAGGAGCTTCACTGACCGTTAGGGTTGAAACTCTTGAAAGTTTCTCACTTCCTGAAATGGTTTCACTGGATGGGGAAGTTCGATTCTGGCAAGGGGGAACTGTCAGGGACAGGAGCTGTGGGTTCTCTGATATCTTCATGGGACACCAGATCCTTTTTTTGGTAGCCAATGGAAATGGAAACCTCTTGGAAGACCCACAATTATTCTTCCATGTGACTGAAATTTCATAGTCCACCTTCTCAGAGGAAAAAGAGAACAGGCTGTCCAATCTCCCTCTCCCTCTCTCTTTCTCTCTCTTTCTTGCTTTCTTTCTGTCCCTTTCTCTCTGTCTCTGTCTCCCTATCCCTCCTTCTGTCTCTCTGTCTCTTTCTCTGTCTCTCTGTCTCTCTGTGTCTCTCTGTCTGTCTCTCTCTGTGTGTTTGTGTGTGTGTGTGTACATTTGTGTGTGTACGTGTGTGTGTCTGTCTGTCTTTGTGTCTCTCTCTGTCTCTACACACACACAGAGAGAGAGAGAGAGAGGGAGAGGGAGAGAGGGAGAGAGAGAAAGAGAAAGAGAGAGAGAAAGAGAGAGAGAAAGGCATAATCAGATGACCCAAGTGGCACAGGGCCCTAATGCAATGATGGCAGTACTAGAGCTTTAATTGCCTTCAGAGTAAAAGAGAAAGAAGGAAAGCTGGATCAAGGCCAATGAATCCTCAGCCTTTCCTTTGCTTACCTGATAAGACATCAAAACACAATAATAAGTGATAAAGGAGAAATGGCATTAAAAATTCACTTGTCTTCCAGGTCATTCCCAGGATAGAGCCCACATTTATATTAAATATAAACTTTTTTAAAAAAAATTAGTCAACACTAAATAGCAGTAAGCAGTGTAAGCAAATTATAAGTTTCTAAGTAGGGCAACAGAAAAAAAATGCAAATTTTCCTCACTTTTTATGCATTTGTAATACAATTGTTATGCTATAAGGGATAAAGAAAACACAAAAGATATTGAAAAGTAATATCCCTCCCAAAGATTACAAGGCAAAATAAGCCAAGGGCTTGACAGCCAGGGAAAGAAACGCTGAGGTGCCCCTCTTCCCTCAATGCCCTAAGCAGGTATTTATTTTCCTTCGTGGTTAATCCAGAGCTGCAAAGAAGGGATGTAGAATATGCGTTGTGTGCCTTGTAGTTTACAAAGTCCTGAAGAATCAAGACTTCTGATTCTTCTGTTGGAGTCTTTCAACCAAAATGAGCGTACAACTGTCCCCAAAGCCAATTCCCTCTCATGAGCCAGGGGTGTGCTGCTACCGGTTCACACTGGTTCGGGCGAACTGGGTGTTAATTTTATATCTGGTTTGCCCAACCAGTAGTTCAGCTGACTGGCTGGCTCCACCCACCCCGCTCTGCCCTGATGCTCCCAGGAGCCTCCATGTGGCCCATTTTGGATCCCAGGTAAGTGCTGAGCCTGTGCTCAGGGAGGGCAAAAAATGGGCCTCCTGGAGGCTCTAGAAGGCTGGAAATGGGCTTGTTTTTGGCCTCCTGGGAGCCTGGGGAAGCCGTTTTCGATCTCTTGGAGCCTCGAGGAAACCCTCTTGAGCCTGGGGGAAAAAACGTCCCCCCCACCATGGTACAGGAGGCCAATTAGACCACACCTACCATGGCCATGCCCACCCAGCAATTAGGCAGAGAACCGGTTGCTACATTTTTTTTGAAGCCCACCCCTGCCCATGGCTCCTATCTTTTAGGTGTGGCATTGACTTGCTTTGTTCCACCCTGATCTCCATAAATCCACGGAGGAACTCTTCTTTCCAGTCTCTTTCAGAATGTCCTGGTATTCGCTACACACAGACGACTTAAGACGCCCCGGGCTGCAAAGAACGTCCAGTCGCTCCCTGAGCTGCCAGCAGAGCTATCAAACTCCAGAACTGGGAGAGTTGCAACGCCTGTTATGGACACCAGTTCCTTGCCGGGGAAATGTCAACGAAGTCTGGCCTAACCTTTATATTGGAGATTTGTAAGTGAACGGGGTTTTTTTGTGGCTTATCCTGAAAAGTATTGCAGTTCTCCAGTCAGAGAGGGGAAGGGAAGATGGAAAAACAAGGTGGCCATCTTAGCCTTCTTACTTGGAATTAAGCCCCACCCTCCTTAACCAGGTTTACTTGTGACTACTATTTCACAGGCAGTCCTCGGCTTACATAACAGGGCCCCGAGTTTCTTTTGTGAAGTGAAACATTTGTTAAGGGAGTTTTGCCCCACTCTACGATCTTCCTTGCTGCAGTAGTTGTTAAGTGAATTGCGGCTATTGATATGTTAGTAACCTGGTTGTTAAATGGATCTGGCTGTTGTGGTTCACTGGCACCCTGTGCAGACAGCAACAGAATCGGACAGTGGGGAAGAACAGGGGCCAGTCTGGGGAGGACTCAGACGAGGGTCCTGCGTCCAATGCAGAGTTGGGGCCAGGACCATCTGGGGGTGGGGTGCTGCCTCCGGAGCCTCCAGGGTCTGGCAGCAGTGAGGCAGAGGAACAAGGGGAGCCTGTTCCCAGTGTGTGTGTGTGCAGAGCTGTTAGAAGGTGAGAGCAGTTGAAGCAGAAGGAGCGACTGAGGAGTAAGGCTGGGAGGTGATTGCCCCTCCCATAAGATATAAAGGACAAGCAAAGGTAGGAAAACCTTTGCAGAAAGCAAAGTCGTTCGCTCTGTTCGGATTAAACCTTGAAGCTCTGTGTGGACTTTGTACTTCAATTGTTTTTTTAAATTTGGCACGTTAGTTGTTGGCAGCAATTCAAAGGAGAGAAAGGTGGGTGCTTATCTCGAGGGACTGTTTGAGACTCATTACGGGCTGGGAATGCACATAATTCCCAGCGTTGAAATAAAACAAGAGTTGGTTTGGACTAAGCGTGTGCTTAATTATGGCCTCAAGAAGCCTTGCTCAGAGCACTGGCTTCCGACATGAATGATGGGTGGCTGCCACAAGAACTACCTCCGATACGTTTCAATGCCATCGTACATTTGAACGATCGCTAAATGAACGATTATTAATCAAGGACTACCAGCATAGTTCTCATCACTTAAATATGAGCCAGCCTTGTGCAGCAGCTGCCAAAAAAGCCAACACCATCCTAGGCTGCATTAACAAAGGGATAGAATCAAGACCATGTAAAATGTTAATACCACTTTATAATGCCTTGGTAAGGCCACACTTGGAATACGGCGTCCAGTTTTGGTCACCAGATTCTAGAAAGAGTGCGGAGAAGAACAACAAAGAGGATTAAGGGACTGGAGGCTAGAATATATAAAGAACGGTTGCAGGAACTGGGTATGTCTAGTCTAATGAAAAGAAGGACTAAGGGTGACATGATAGCAGTGTTCCGATATCTCAGGGGCTGCCCCAAAGAAGAGGGAGTCAAGCTATTCTCCAAAGCACCTGAAGGCAGGACAAGAAGCAACAGATGAAAACTAATCAAGGAGAGAAGCAACTTAGAACTAAGGAGGAATTTCCTGACAGTGAGAACAATTAATCAATGGAACAACTTGCCTCCAGAAGTTGTGAATTCCCCAACACTGGAAGTTTTTAAGAAGAGATTGGAGAGTCACTTGTTATATGGTATAGGATTTCCTTCCTGGGCAGGGGGTTGGACTAGAAGACCTCCAAGGTCCCTTCCAACTCCGTTATTCTGTTTTTCTGTTAATAACAGAAATGGAAGGACACCCTCAGAGGTCATCTAGTCCAACCCCCCCCCCCCACACACACACACAAGCAACGCCCTCTGCACAATAAGAAAATTGCAGCCCAGACAGATAAAAGGGAAGGAATCCCTTGACTGCTTTTATGCAAGTCTTGATTAGTGCTCTTGTGCCTTGTGCCCATGGTCTTATTGTGATTTTTATTGTACTCCATTCAGCTGAAAACCATAGCAAGCAAATGGATCAATCAATAAATAAAGCAATACAAGCATCTGAGACTTTCCGGCACCATGCTGAGTGGTTGTTTAAAAGCCTGGTGCATGAAGCACAACCTGTTTCGCTCTTGCAAATGGAAAAATGAAATCAGATAAAGTCTCTCATCATCAAACACTGTTCCCCAATCCTGCTTCTCTTTTGCAAATGGAGGAGAGGAGAGGAAAGAAGAAAGGAAGGAAGGAAAGAAGGAAGCTAAGAAGGAAGGAAGAGAAAGAAAGAAAGAAACAGAAAGAAAGAAAGAAAGAAAGAAAGAAAGAAAGAAAGAAAGAAAGAAAGAAAGAAAGAAAGAAAGAAAGAGAGAGAGA